TGAAGGGCTTGCTCCAAGATGAAAGGGTTAAATATCAGAGATAGCTGATACACAGTAACCACTCCTTTTTGTTTTGTGTTCAAGTAAGACTATATGTAGAAGCCAGGAAGCAGGAAGAGAGGGTGGATAGTAGACTGTAGGTGATATGAAATTAGAGAGTGGGTATTCTGGGGGCACAATGGTTCAAGTATGTAGTGGAGTGGTGTTGCTCAAATCTTAAATGGTCTAACAATTAAAAAAACCCAGAGCCAGATATTGGGGTGAATGCTGACAGATCAGAGAGACAAAGGAACAAGCCACAGCTACTTCTAACCTCACCAACTCCATGAATCCTCTGACTGTCTCTGAGTCATCAGCCAAAAGGGGTCCAGCCAAAAAGGCCTCTAGCTGAAAACAGACTTAGTTTCTGTCTCCTCACACCTTATATACCTTTCTCTGCCCAGCCATGTTACTTCCTTCCTAGGGATGGGATTAAAGGCCTGTGTTCCCCAAGTACTGGGGATGAAGATGTGTGACTCCCTGCCTGGCTCTGTTTCTCTCCTAGACTGAATCAATCTCATGTATTCCAGGGGGGCTTTGAACTCACAGAGATCCAGACAGATTTCTGCCTCCTGAGTGCTAGGATTAAAGGTGTATGCCACCACTGCCTGGCCTATGTTTAATCTAGTAGCTTGTTCTGTTCTCTGATCTTCATGCAAATTTTATTAGGGTACACAATATATCACCACAGAGTGGTGGTAAGAGAGGGCCTGCTGAAAGGTCAACTCAAGAGAGATGTCCATGAAGAAACTACATGGGAAACTATCATTTGGAAACCCAAGTAAATAATATGACAATAGAGGATAGTAGAACACTTGTGGTATAAAATAATGAGCATTGGTTAATGTATACTAAATGTTTAACTGGGCATGGAACAGGAAGAAAGGAGGAATAATGGGATGGTCAACTAAGAGGAAGGACATCTGAAACTTATGAAATCCCACTGTCTGACAAGTTAATAGGAAATACATTTTTTTAAAAAAATCTTTGAACACAGATGTCCTATGTGGGTAAATAATGCTGCTCCCAGACACCATGGGTATTAAACAGAACTCATTGTACCAGGTACTGGTTATCTGCCTAGGCCTTCCTGGTCAGGGAGGCCCCAGAGGCATCCCAAACAAAACAGGTCATTGCCAGTGCTCTTACTTGGCCACCATAAGTACAGGGTGTAGCTGAAGACACCAAATACTTTGGTTGTATGATAGAGGGAGAGCATAGAGCTAGAACTTACCAGGGACTGTCCTGCTGGCCAGGTTTCACAGGCCTGCAAAGAAAAGTTGTCAATGGTCTAACCTACCCCTGGACCCTGCATCCTACATTACCAACCGACAAGCCAGGATGTGTGCACTGGTGCAACACTGGCATTTCTGCTTATGGACACAACCAACCTCTCTCCTGATTGGATTTGAGCTCTGCTCCATAGAGGGGAACTCATGCCTAGTACTGTAACAGGGTCAGAAAACATGGCTTGGGAATTAAAAATCCAAAGGCAGAACCTATAGATGTTTTGTTAATGATCTTGTTATCTGCCATCTAAATATTCGTGTTTGTAATTATCAATTTATACTACTCTCAGTCTTGGTGAAAGAAGCATCCTCTTGTAGTTGGTAATGGGTAGTACAGTACTGACAACAGCAACCATGTAAGATTGGGTAATTGCCATTTCATCATGGCTGAGGGAGAGTCCCAAGAGTCCTTTCCTTCTTAAAGGTCTACTGGCAGTTAATGGGAGCTGTACCATTTTTATTTAGTTTGGAGTAAATACTTCCACATACTTTTCTCAGTACTTAAAAATGAATTCACACATACTGCTGCAGGCCGCAGGAATATATCATAAGAATTCAGCTGGTTATGGCAAAGTCACTACCTGGAGGAAGCCAAATCCCAAGGAGTTTTTGGTGTTACTTGGGTTGTTATATATCAGCTGTCTTCTGTTATGAAAATCATGTGTGCCTTCATAGTTTTCCCAATTGACTTTTCCCTGAGAAGGGCTAACAGTGTGGACTGATCACTCTCTGGACATACACATTCCAGGAATTTGGAGAACAGCCTCAAGAAAGGCTTTCTCTGGAATCAGATATCTCCCTTGGCCACTTTCAAGGACTAGCAGTAATAACAGTCCACATGCAAGTCTCCTGATTTAAGGTAAATTCCACAAGGAGACACCACCTAGGTCAGGTGGACGTTAAGTAATAGCTTTACACAATTTAGCTCGGACCCTCCTTTCTTACAGCCTTACTAACTTTAAAGGCCTCTAACTCCTTACCTAACCACTTCTAGGAATATTTAGATAACCTTCTGCACTGACAGCTATGCTCAGCCAGAACCCCAGTTCAAGCCTCCCTGTAATTATCATCATTGGCAGCATCCGGCCGGGTCCATCCCCAAGATGGAGGAAAGTACCTTATCAGAGATACCTCTGTACTCTCTAAGAACAGACTTAAGCATCCAGGCTACCTGTTTGAGAAGGCCTGGTGGATGTGCCAATTAAGCCTTACTTCCTCTTTTCCCACACCTTACCTGTAGTTCCAGATCTCCCTTTAACTATCACTAGAGGCATCTAGCTGTACACAGTACCTAGCGACTGAGAACACTTTCCCCTACCCTGCAGAAAAACGGCAGATAGCTTGCACAGATAGGAGCCACAGGAAAAAAGAAGACAGTTTTATTTTCTCCCATTGACCTAGCAACTTATAGATTCCTAACATTTTCTACTAATCATGTTTAAGAGTTTAATAATTGAGCACATAAGATCCCTCTTCCTAGATATTACCTGAATTTAGCCTTTAGTTAATTCAATTCCCCATTGGTCACTTCCTTTGGGGTTGCAAATGCTAATTAACGGTTATTGCCTATCACACAAAGAATTCCCCAAAATCTTCTAAAACCAACCAATGTGATTCTTATCACCCCTCCGTTTGACCCTGGAAGCCTGGCTTTGCACTGCTAAGGGAATACTGCTTGTAAGTGTATATATACCAGGACTTCCAGGGCACAGGGGGACAGAGAAGAGAAAAGAGAATGGAAGAACTAGATGGTTAAGAACTTGAGAGGAACAAACTGAGATGGGGAAGAACTAGATTGAAGGGCTAAAAGAGAGGACTAGAGGAACGAGATGGAGGATGAGGAAGAGCCAGATGAGAGAGAAGGAGACAGGAGAGGAGCTGATAGGGGAAAGAACTAGACAGATGAGAACCTAGAAGGGACAGAACTAGATGAAGGAATTAAGATAGAACCTAGAGGGGACAGTAGATAAATATAGAGAGAAATCAGCCAAGAAAGGAGCTAGACATGAGAGCAGAATAGAAGCCGTGTAGAGAGAGAACTATCACAGAATAATAAAGTGTATGAACTAAGGAGTTTGGTGTACATAGATTCATTTCTTTTTATCAAAGATTAATTATCAGCTGATTGTAGATTCTTCCCGGACCCTGGGAGGGGACTATCAAGGGGCTGGACCCCCATAGTCCCCGATAACATACCTTCAGGGATTTCTTTTTTCTTTTCTATTCCTTCCTTCCTTCGTTCCCTCCCTCCCTCCCTCCCTCCCTCCCTCCCTCCCTCCCTCTCTCTCTCTCTCTCTCCCCCCCGCCCCAAGGTTTTGGTTGGTTTTAGAAGATTTTGGGGAATTCTTTGTGTAGCCCTGGCTATTCTGGAATTTGGTCTGTAGATAAGGCTGGTCTTAAACTCACAGAGTTCCACCTGCCTCTACCTCCAGAGTGCATGGATTGAAGGCATGCACCATACCTGGCAGTATTATGAATTGTTGGATGTTGAACAAGATAAATGTTTTTATTACAGCATTTCCCAGGGGCTGAAGCATTGGCTTACTGGTTAGTAGCACTGGCCTCTCTTCTAGTGTGAAGGCAATACAGACCCTATCTTAGGGAAAGGGCCACCATCTTAGACAACTGGCTGTGCTTAGTTCCAGGAAGGACCTCAGGAAAGTGCCATGACAACTCCAACCGATACAGAACAGTATGCTCCTGTGGACATTCTGTCTGTGGTTGATGGCCTTGGAAGCTATGTAGGTAATCCTGCTGAGCAATCTAGATAATTCTGTTCAGCAGGTTGTGGTTCCCTGCCAAAAGTCTAACCCAGTGGTTTCAAATGTGATTTCACACCCAAAATCTAGACCAATAGTTTCAAAAAAAATTACCTTGCCCCATATTCCTTCTTCCCAATCCCAAGTTGCCAATTCCTGGCTTGCAGTTTTTCCCTATTAAAAACTCTCTACACCTTGGCTCACCACCGCTGCCACATTTCCTTCCATCTGCCATTTGGTGGCCAAGGTTGAATCTGACAATAAAAGAACCCTTATGTGTTTGCATTGGAAATTGGCTCCTTGGTGGTCTCTGGGGGTTTCACAAAATGGGTACAACACTAGAGGACCAGGGTTCATTTCCCAACACACATGTGTGTGCACAATTGTCTGTAGCTACAGCATCAGGGGATGTGATGCCGTCATCTGACATCCACAAGCAGCAGGCATACATGTACTGTACAGTAATACAAGCAGGCAAAGCAACCATACATATTTAAAAAAAAATGAAGAGAAAAAAAAGTTTCTTCACACAATTACATTTGCAAAATTTTATTTTAACATAAACTTTGTGATATTTTCTAAGATTTAAATCTTCCTTAAAGGCTTTCACAAGTTTCTTATCTTTATCTTTCTTTTTTTCTATGTTATTTATTTTTGGGTTTTAGAGACAGGGTTTCTCGGTGTGGCCCTGGCTACCTGGAACTTACTTGCTCTGTAGGCTAGGCTGGCCTCAAACTCAGAACTCAAGAGATCTTCCTGCCTCTGCTTCCTGTGTGGTGGGATTAAAGTTGTATGCCACCACTCCTGGCTATGTAGGTTTCTATTATGTATACTGTTTTAATTTGTAAGCAAGAATACTGTATAAATGCTACGTCACATTATTTAAAACAGCATTTTTCTCTCCAGCATGAACTTCCTGATGTTTTCTAAGATTTGAATCCCGAGTAAAGGATTTGTCACACTCCTTACATTTGTAAGGTTTCTCCCCAGTATGAATTTTCTGATGTCTTCTAAGGGTTGAGTCCTGGGAAAAGGATTTGTCACATACCTCACATTGGTAAGGTTTCTCTCCACTATGGATTCTGTAATGTCTTCTAAAGTGTGAAAGCTGATGAAAGACCTTGCCACATTCTTGACAACTACAATGTTCCTCAGCAGTATGGGTTTTCTGATGTCTCCTGAAACTGGAACAGTGGGCAAAGGACTTGTCACAGTCCTTACATTTGTAAGGCTTCTCTCCAGTATGCCTTTTCTGATGGCTATTAAAAGCTGACAACTGAGGAAATGACTTTCCACAATCTTTGCATTTGTAAGGTTTCTCGCCAGTGTGAAGTCTTCGATGTGTTTTCAGACTTGAGCACTGGTTAAAGGATCTGTCACAGACCTCACATTTGTAAGGCTTCTCACCAGTGTGGATCCTGTAATGCCTTTTAAGATGTGATAATTCAATATAGGACTTACCACATTCTTTACATTTGTATAATTTCTCTAAAGAATGAATTTTCTGATGCCTTCTAAATGATGAATAGTGGGTAAAGAATCTGTCACAGTCATTGCATTTGTAAGGCTTCTCTCCAACATGGAATCTTTGATGTCTTTTAAGATTTGTATAATGGGTGAAGGATTTGTCAGAAATGTTGCACTTGTGGGGCTTCTCTCCAGTATGAATTCTCTGGGGTACACTGAGGCTTAAGGCAGTACTGAAGCATCTTTCACATTTCCCACACCGGTATGGTGATTTTCCAATTGTTTGTTGCAAAAGACTGTATACAAAGGTGAGATAGTCATCATCTTCTCCCTGCCTGTGCTCTTTCTTTGCAGTGTACAGTCTCTGATCTTGAGTCATGTTGGAACACAAATTTAAAGATTTCTCACAGTCTTTAGATTTGCAAGGTTCATCTCCAGTGTGCATGCTTTCATGTCTGTCTGGGTTTGATGAGTCAATAGAGGCATCCCTGTGGTTACTGCATCTGTAGTTATTAGAGTTTTCTGTAGTTTCACTTGTTCTATAAATTGCATATTTGGAGAGGTCATGAAGCACTTTGCCAAGTTCATTACACTGACAAGACTCCTTTTCAGTCCTCACATGTTGGTGGACAGGATCGCATATGCAGTCGTTCTCTGAAAATGAGTACAAGTCATATGAACAGGGCTTGTCCCAAGATTAAACATTTGATAAATGACTGTCTCTCTAAGTTCTCTCTTAGGTCAACTAGCAACTACTTAGAATACAGCTCCCATAATTTTCACTCAACATAATTGTATGGATTCTCAGAAAAACAGAATGAAATCCTACAAGGAAGATGAAATAATTAATTATGGAGTCCGTAATTAGCTTTTATTCAGCAAGAAAGAGTGCAGAAGACTCAATTCCAAGATTAAAGGCTTACTTTGAAGAATCAAAGGGTTTATTTTTTTCAGATACCACAGAAAAGTTCTTTTCTACTAAAAAACTTTCCCTAGTCTCCTGTTGTTTCCAAGACAGCTAATCAGAGCTTTTATAGTGTATAGAGTCAGAACAAACAAAAGATGGGTTAGGAATTCTACAAGCCAAATGTTCTCACCCACGGAGACCAGGTTGTTGTAATTCTCCAACATCACATCAATGTACAAAGCCCTCTGAGCAGAGTCCAGGCATTCCCATTCCTCCTGGGAGAAGTCCACAGTCACATCCCCGAATGTCAACAGACCCTGCAATTAAAAAAACAGTTTAGCCGGGCGGTGGTGGCGCACGCCTTTAATCCCAGCACTCGGGAGGCAGAGCCAGGCGGATCTCTGTGAGTTCGAGGCCAGCCTGGTCTCCAAAGCGAGTTCCAGGAAAGGCGCAAAGCTACACAGAGAAACCCTGTCTCGAAAAACCAAAAAAAAAAAAAAAAAACAAAAACAAAAAACAAAAAAAAAAACAAAAACAGTTTAACTGGGTGTGGTGGTGCATGCTTTTAATCCCAGCATTCAAGAAGCAGAGGCAGGCAGATCTCTGTGAGTTGGAGGCCAGCCTAGTCTACAAAGTGGAATGCAGGACAGCTAGGGCTGTTACACAGAGAAACCCTGTCCCCAAAAGAAAATAAACAAACAAAAAAGTACCGATGACCAAGTGGTACCAGACAGAGTACTTTTCTAGATATAAGTAAACTTAAGGAAATTAGTGATGTAAATGAGCGAAAACAATTATTCAAAAAATGATCTTTAACATAGTCACATTCTATAATAGATTTTCTAACTCTGTGAAAACAGGATGAAACAATAGTCTTACAAGCAGTATACAAGAAACAAGAAATATATTTAAGGTCTGGACATGGTTATCTATCTGTTATGGATGCTGTGTTTATGTCACATGCAGACATGTCTCAGGAGGAAAATTCATGATGACAAAATGTGTTTTAAATGCTGTACCTGTAGATCATGCTAAAACACTGACACATATTAATCCAGTGTGTACTTGGGTCTTACATGACTATTCTAACAGGCTCAGTTGGGATGTTTAAACTCTAGGTACAATGCCACACCATTAAATAGCAAATGGGTAGGTATGGAAGGCATTATAGGTAGAGGTTTTGGATTTTTTTCCTCAGTAACAAGGAGCATAACAACACTGCATGCTCCCGAAATTAATATATGAGATAGATAGTTTAATTTTATGAGGCTATTTGGGCCACTACCAAGCAGATAGAAAAATCTGCATCAGCCACATTTCATATAATCTAAAATTTAACTAAAATATAGGAATAAGGCAAATTAGACAAATAACAGGCTCAGAAGTTTTGGATAATATTTCACTCCCCAAGAGTTGTAAAAATTTATGGAAGTCCAAAAACATACCAAATAATGTTTAAGTTGCAAGTAAGCATGTATATGTAAGTGTAGTAACTGTGGATCCATTCAGAAGTGACAGAGATTTCCTGTGAGTAAATGAATATATTAAAGTGTGTGAGAATTATAGCCACCTTTCAGTGCTTTGCAAATATGAAAGAGCACAGAAGGATGGCTCAGGAGAAAATCTGAGCTACTGTGTGTGAATTTGTAGTCCTCAATGTGTTCCTTTTTACTGCTTATGCTGTATTGTCTAACAGATTTTAGGTTAGTAGTGTTTATGATTCTTCCTTTACTTGTCTGGAAATGGAAAGTGGTGATATATTCTGTCTGAGCCATGAGGCAGGGATAGAAATGCAATCCTCCAGGTCAGAGCCTATTTCCAAATCTCCACTTTAAAACACTGCAGCTTCAGGGAAGAGGAGTCGAGCCACGACTCTCACAGGAACTGACTAGAGCAAGGCAATCATGAGGAATGTTCTTTCTGCATGAAATGTGATGGTTTATGCACATCTATAAGACAATGCCCCCAAGACATTCATGATGCATTCAACATAATGCTACATAGAGTTTCCCAGCCAGAAAGGGCTGCACAGTGGGATCCTGTTTGGGACAGTGAGATGGGGGTGGGCCATGGATGACACACTGATATCTCTAGTTTGGGAAGTTACCACTGAGCATCCTAACCAAGGGAGTGATGTGAGCAGCAATTCTTCTGAGACAAACAGATATCAGGTGTCAACAAATATGTGGATGAATCAACAATGTTGTGATAGGAAAGACCAAAGAGAAATACAAGTAGACTACAAGCTGATATTATGCTCTAGAACACCAGTTTCATGGCACGATCAAGACACATGTGCCAGCCATGTTCCACACTTTCTAGTGTGCTTAACCAAGTGTTATTTAGTATTAAGAACCAAGATTTTTTTTGCCTACTTTGCTAACTATTAAGTGGACATAACTTACTGTTTTTCTTTCTGGATTCTCTATCCAATTCTGTTATCCTCCTGTCTATTTATCCTCCTGTCTCTCTAAATCGCACACTTTTCTAAATTTGCAGCAACCAGTCCTTGCGTTTCAATATACATTTTTATAAGCATGATTCAAGACATGACACAGATCCCGCAAATGGAGCCTACACAGCACATGTGGCCTCACTCAACAAGATATAAGGATATAGTCCATTCTCTGTAGCAACTGGGCTTCAATTTTATTTTTCCCCTGAGATAGAATTTGGATATCCTGGATCTAGCTCTGTAGAAGAGGCTAGCCTTAAATTCATAGAGATCTGCCTGCTTCTGCCTACAAAGTGCTGGCATTAAAGGTGTGAAGCATGACCACCAGGCCCCAACATCTTTTTTTGTTGTTGTTGTTCATGTGTCACAGAGGAAATACTTTCCAAATTACAGGTCATAGGTAGATATGGGATGTGTTGTAGACAGTTTTCCTGAATCCCATCCAGTCCCATAGCTGCTTATTCCCAAGTAAACATATGGAGACTTAAATTACAAACTGTATGGGCTATTGCTCAGGATTCTTGCTAGCTAGCTCTTATAACTTAACCCATTCCTATTAATCTATGTGTTGCCCTGTGGCCATGGTGTTACTAGTCTGCTGACATCTTGTTGCTCCTTGGGTGGTGGGCTGGCATCTCTCCCAACTCCACTCTTCTTCCCTCTCTATCTCTGCTTGGATTGCCTGCTTGCCTCTAAGCTGCCTTTCCATAGACCAAAGTAGCTTATTTAGCCAATGAGAGCAACATACATTCACAGCATACAGAAAAACATCCCATAGCTCTTCCCTTTTTCTGTCTAATCAAAAAGATTTTAATTTTAGTATAGTAAAATTATATATAAGAAAATAGTTATCAAGCAAGAATTAGTTATTTAGTATTTAGCAAAATTTATGAAAATATTTCATTATCTACCCTATATTTGTGAGTCTTAAGTTTCAAATCTAATTTATCTTTTATTGTAACCAAGGAAAATATAATTATCCAGTCTTTAATTCCATCAAAGACCCCACAAGGACATAATTACCTAGGTAAACAGAAAGTGCATTGTAAGCAATTTCCAATAGTCTAGAAATGAGAGAGACATCTGGCTGCCTTGACAGTCACCCAAAGTTCCTCTGTAATTTTTGGGCATCCCTCTTTAGTCTACAGACCTAGAGTCTCTGGCAGACTTTTTGTGAAGCAGGAAATTTGAAGGATTGACTCGCCTATTGGTAAAGTTTATCAGTCACTTTCCTCTGTGTCCTGCAGAATGTTTGGTAGTATTTTCTGTGAAGCAGGAACCCAGAAGGACCATCAGACCTTGTTTTGGCAAAGTTTAGAGGTCATTTTTCCATGGGTGCTGCATGTCCAGTTTATATACCATATTGTCAAGCAGTTCAGGCAAGAGCAGTTTCTTGTCTAAACGGCCAGTTTTGCTTAGAAGAAGATAAACTCCATATGGAGTGTCTTTGATGCCCATCTTTCTCTTTGAAGTAAATTGGTGCTGCCAGGAGCAAACATGTCTCACTGTCCAGAAAAGTTTAAGTTTTAAAAAACATTTTAAATGCCATATTCTGTAGGTCTTTGAAGTGTTTGAAGATTATATACCTAATTGAAATACATCTATGTATATTTAGAAAACTTAATTAACATGACTATGTTTGATCATCATAGATGATTAATTATTAATCTGTATTTCTTAATTATATATTATAATTTAAAATGAACATAATACCTTAAACAAGAGTAGAAATATGTATACAGTATAGCAAAATTAACTTTAAATTTGTATCAATAAACTAAATCCATACTAATGTAAAATATGTAAGATTAACAGATTCTTTTTGGATTAAAGTAGATTCAATAACCTACCCTTTTATCCTATTATTTATATATCATACATTTCTATATCATATCCCCCTTCCTTCTTTTAAAAGGAGATTGATTATGACCAATAACAATTTGTAACCAACCCCCTAAACAAAGACATTCATCCATAATTCATTTTTTTAGAATGTGGGCATAGTTTTCTAGGCTATTTCCTGCTAATTGGGGTCACTGGTAATCTTTGGGAGACCCTGCGAAAATTTAGATTATGGTCAAGTCCTTACTAGAGTAGTCTGTGAGGCAGGATCATCTCAGCCAGCAGCCTTGAACCTGTTTTGAGTGCAGAACTCAGAGAAAACTGCAACAGAGGCATTCTGAGCTGCTGAGAGACATTTTGAGATGCTACATCATCTGGGCCATTTGTTTTCATTGGTGTCTAGTCCTCTCATCCTGAAAATACCTAAACTTTTAAAGGTAACTTACATATCTGCATTAATGTAAGTACAGACTGTGTTAGTCATCCAAAGATAATTTCTTGTTATGTGTTTGAACGGATAAAATAGACATCATCTATCTTGTAGTAACTTTAGGTGAACCTAAAAGTTTTCCATGTCTGTAGTCAGGATGTCAAAGGGTCTTCATCGATCAAATCTGACTTTTTTTTTTTTTTAACACAGAATGAATCTAGAGCCTTTTATTTTCTGTGGAAATAAAAGCATAAACTCTCTCTCAAAGTGGCATATCTTTTGACTTAAATTTTGGAGTCAAGATATTTTTAAAATATGTAGATTGGTTTAATCCAACAGCTTTTATAATCAAATATCTCATAGCAGTCAAAACTTTAGAGACAACATAGTAATACACATAATCCAGACTTTCTGTGTATCTTCCATCCTAATGTGGCCCATTATATTATTTTATATTATTTTATTCCCTTTTCTGAGAACTTTATTTTATTATTTTAAAACTATGTATTTCTTTTTTTTAAGACTATCTATACCTTTTCTTTACTCTCCCAAAGCTATGTATATTTTTAAACATACTGTACCCATTTAGAGTTTCTTCCAGAATGTGTTCTTATCGCATATCTGTAATCTTTGCCTTACCAGGAGAGATTTTAAAATGTTAAACTGTGTGGCTAGGAAGAAAGTGGCAGCACTGCCTGCTGGCTCTGCCCCCTCGGCTTTTCAACATGGCCAGGCACCAAGTCACACTTACCTCTCCAATTCTGGGAAGCATTAGGGTCATGGGTTCAAGCCCCATGTTGGGCACCATTTGTAGATAGAAGTTTTTCCTGTGTCCCGCCCAGTCCCCCAGCCACTCAGTCCCAAGTAAATACATAGAGGGTTATATTAACTACAGACTGTATGGCCTATGGCTCAGGCTTCTTGCTAGCTAGCTCTTATAACTTAACTCAACCCATTCCTATTCATCTATTCCTATTCCTATACGTGGCCATGGCATTACTGGTCTTCTGGCATCTTGTTGCTCCTTGGGTGGTGTGCTTGAGTCTCCTGACTCTGCCCTTCTCCTCACTGTATCTGTGCTTGGATTGCCTGCCTGTTTCTAAGCTGCCTTTCCATAGGCCAAAATAGCTTATTTATTAGCCAACGAGAGCAACATATATTCACAGTGTACAGAAAGACATCCCATAGCAATGTGTACCTCAAAACAAAACAAAATGGGAGCAGGGGGATGGTGGGGGCAGAACTGAGAAAAGTGCCACAGGAGATGTATTATAAAGTCGTAGTCATGAAGACAGCCTGGTACAGGCATAAAATTAGACAAGAGGCTAACAGAATTGGATAGAGAATCCAGAAAGAAAACCAGAAAGCAATGCTCACTTAATATTTGACAAAGGAGGCAAAAAGTACATTACAAAAATATGTCCTCTTCAACAAATTGTGCTGTCCAAATTGGATCCAGCAGGAGGATAAAATTAGATTTGTATCTCTCACCTTATACAAAAATCCATTAAAAATGGATCAAAAACCTTATTTAAAACCTGAAACACAGAAACCTAGAAAACACAGGGAATCCCCATGAGGCTATTGGGATGGGCAAAACTTATACATTAGAATGAACCCCAACAGCAAAAGAACTAACCCATGTGGTGGTATTGTGTTCCCCAAAATATTGTGAACCCTAATAAATTTATCTGGCGTCAGAGAACAGACAGCCACTAGATACAGACGCTAGAAAATGGTGGCACTCACACCTTTAATCCTAGCATTCCAGAGACAGAAATCCCTCTGGATCTCTATGAGTTCAAGGCCACATTGAAAATGGCCAGGCATGGTGACACACGCCTTTAATCCCAGAAAGCAAGCATTTAATCCCAGGGAGTGATGGTAGAAGGCAGAAAAATATATAAGGCGTGCAGACCAGAAACTAGAAGCATTTGGCTGGTTAAGCTTTCAGGCTTCTAGCAGCAGTTCAGCTGAGAGCCATTGGGATGAGGACACAGAAGCCTCCAGTCTGAGGAAGCAAGACCAGCTGAGGATCCGGCGAGGTGAGGTAGCTGTGGCTTGTTCTGGCATCTGATCTACCAGTATTCACCCCAATAACTGGCCTCAGGTTTGATTTTTATTAATAAGACTCTCTAAGATTCATGCTACAAACCCAAGTACGAACAGATGGGCATTAACAGCAACAATCAGCAGAGCACACAGACCCACCGCAGAATGGGAGAGAGTCTGACCAGGGACACTTTGGATAGGGGCTGATATCTAGAATTTACTGAGAATTATAGAAATTAAATACCAAAGAAATAAAACTGCTATTCAACCAATAGGTAAATGATCTGAATAGATACTTTGTGAATAGAGAAATACAAATGGCCAATAAATGTTGCAAAGAGTGTTTAGGATCCCTAAAATTCCCTTATGGAAAAACAAACTAAATCTACTTTGAAATACTGCCTCACCCCAGGCAGAGCATGGCTGTCATCAACCAATCTAACAATATGTGTTAGAGATGATGTGGAGAGAAAAGAACCATCATTAACTGTTGGTGTGTGTGTGAGAGTGTAAATTAATACAGCCATTGTGGGAATCAGTTTGGAGGTTATTGAAAAAAATGAAGATAGAACTATTGAAGGACCCAGCGAAGGAATGTCGCTCCTAGGAATATAACCAGAGAACACCATACCCCACTGTAGAAATATTTACACCCCATGTTTACAGCTGCTGTATTCAACATAGCCAAGTATTAGAATAAACGTAATTGTCTATCAACAGATGAATGGATAATAAAAATGGTATACCCATAAAATGGAATACTAATCAGCTGAAGAGAAACATGTAATAAAAAATTGCAGGAAAATGGATGGACTCAAAATATATAATATTAAGTGCAGTCATACAGTATCAGAGAGAAGAAACCACATTTTCCCTCATATGAATAACTTTCCTATTAATATATATGGGAAACAACATACATGTGGGCATAGCAGAATCTGGAAAAAAGAGAACAAGAAAGGTTAACAATTATCAGGGCTTGAGGTAGGACTGAATGCAGGTAATGAACACCAGTTATGAAAAAGGATATAAAGGGTATTACTTTTCTTCTTCTAATTCTGTCACAGGCTTTTTGGTTTTTGTTGGTGGATGAGTACATTCGATTGTGAACATATAAAATAAAATGTGAAGCTTCAGAGCTATTGTTCCCAATAACTACTGTAATGGCATAAAAGTTCATCGAGTTTCCGGATGTGGTGACACACACACATTTAATCCCAGGACTTGGGAGGCAGAGGCAGGTGGATCTTTGTGAGTTCAAGGCTAGCCTAGTCTACAAGGTGAGTTTCAGGAAGGCCAGAGATAAACAGAAAAACCCAGTCTTGAAAACAAAAAAACAACCACAAAGTTCATTGAGTTGTATAATTGGTTAATTTCAATATGAGAATTTTTTGTTGTTTTTTTTTGCAACTTTTTTTAATAGTTAAAAAAAGGATTTTAGCCGGGCAGTGGTGGCGCACGCCTTTAATCCCAGCACTCGGGAGGCAGAGCCAGGCGGATCTCTGTGAGTTCGAGGCCAGCCTGGGCTACCAAGTGAGTTCCAGGAGAGGCGCAAAGCTACACAGAGAGACCCTGTCTCGAAAAACCAAAAAAAAAAAAAAGGATTTTATTGTGGAAATAAACAAAACAAACAACATGGTTAAAAACCATGAGTCAAAGCTGGGTGCAGGTGGGGCTGGAGAGATGGCTCAGTAGTTATCAATAGTGCAACTTTTTTTTATAATAAAGTTAAAAAGAACTATCAGAAACAAAAAATAGAGTCTTTCAATGTCTCAAAATACATTTCTAGAACAATAGTGGACATGACCACTAACCTGGGACATGTTTACTGGAGAATCAGCCATTTCCATCCGTTTCTCTTCTTTGAGTTTCTCTTCCAGGAATAATGAATGATGGCTTGCTGCCCTTTCATATAAGGAGTCAAAAAGGAAAAGCAAAAATTAATACTGAAAGCTGTGAAAGAACAATGAAAAGACCCAAACAACAGATTACAACCAGATGTCCAGTCCATGACCCCAAATTCAGGAAATCATGGACTGACACAGGAAGCTTGGAGAGAAAACCATTAAACATATTGTTGCCTCCAGAAAAATAGTCTCTTTAATTGATGGAGACTTAAGTGCAATTCAAGACAGTCCTGAGTTAATACAACTGATTTCACTAAAGCAGCACTGCAGGTAATAAATCAGAAACAGAAGATACACAGGAGAGTCAGAGGAATCATCCTTGAGAACATGGGAAATAACACTTTTTTCTTTGTTTGTTTGTTTTGTTTTTTTGGAGACAGGTTTTCTCTGTGAAACAGTTCTGACTGTCCTGGAACTCACTCTGTAGACCAGACTCGCCTCGAACTCACAGAAATCCGCCTGCCTCTGCCCCCCAAATGCTGGGATCAAAGGCGTGTGCCACCACCACCTGGCTAGGAAATAATAAATTTCATGTCAAGAATAGATAAATACAGGAGAACTGGAAAGTAATCATCCATAGGCAAGACAGCAAATCACAAATTCTCAAAAAGGAAGAAGAAAAATACTACCATTAATCCAACCAGCAACATCAAAAACCAAAATGTAGGGAATGAAAACCCTATCTACAAAATATTTAGCCATCAGTAGCATATGTCTTTAATCCCAGCATTTGGGAGGCAGAGGCAGGTAGATCTCTGAGTTCAAGACCAGCATGGTCTACAGAGCTATTTCCAGGATAGTCAGGACTACACAAAGAAAACCTGTCTAGAAAACCAAAAACAAACAAACAAAAATATCTAGCCACTCTGGAAATCCATAGAGAGAATCCTCAATTAATAAACAAATCCTCATCTTAAGTAAGTCTAGCACATGATCCAGCTGTTCCATTCCTTGGTATATCGTCAAAGGACTCCACATCGAACTCCACAGATACTTGCTCATGTTCATTGCTGCTCTACTCACAATAGCTATAAAATGGAAACAACCTAAATGTCCTTCCACTGACAAATGGATAATGAAAATGGGGCTGATATACAATATGGAATGTGATTCAGCTGTTAAGAAAATTGAAATCATGAGCTTTGCAGCTAAGTGGATGGACTTAGAAAAGATCATATTGAGTGAGGTAACCCAGACCCAGAAAGACAGACATTGCATGGTCTCTCTCATAGAAGTTCCCAGCTCCAAATCTTCAGATATGAGTATACAACCCGGAGTGACTGCAGTAACCCGAACTCCAGGCATCAGAAGCTTGCTTTGAAGCTGATAGTCACAGCTGTCCAAGAGACTCCCAAAACACTGTAGCTTATTGACGATGTTCATGGTTACTTCCCAGAGGTAGATGTTGAGTCCCTATTGTTGAAGAAGCCATGCACTTCAGACGACACAGATCCCAGAGGACTAGAGATGGTTATGACCTTAAAGCCTCCTCCCTGGGGACTAGCTTTCATGGCACTAGAAGGCAACATTCAAGCTTCCAAAGGAGGGAGCCAGTCAACAGTCCTACCCAGCTATTGACACCTATGAACCACAGCAATGATCTGCACTGCATGATAGCCCTAAGGGTGTAAGAGTGGCACACAGACCTTGGTGGTAAGCAACAGCTTCTAATTGCATTAAGACCCTCTCAACAAGAGGGAAAGTCATGCCTGGTACTGGAAACCTAGCTAGTTTCCCTAGAGTTAGTAAGGGCATGGATCTTGGAGGAGGACCTACAATCACTATTTTACTAAATCAGCATAATCCCTAACTGCATTCTGAGTATTTTCCTTATTCACACAGATAAATGAAGTTCTCACACCTCATCAAGAAAAATTCTTTTAGCAACACATAAAAATTATTACAGAAAACCACAGTCACTGAAAATGCAGAGTTGTGATGCTCTGTCTCAACTAACATATAAGGAACAGAGCTCCTTCACCTCAGGCTCAGGGAACACTGAGAAAGAGGGGTGGGAATAGTGTAAGAGCCAGAGGAACAGGATGTTTGCTGTGATATTGTGTTTCCTAGAAATTCCAGAGAAGCTACACACATGAAATCATACAAACATGGCTGCCTAACATGAGCTGAACAAGGACAACACCAAGAGACATGCTGACATGGAAGGGAGAAACTAGGTCTCAACCCTAGTTAAACACTAAAGGATTCTGAGATCGGGTGAAATAATCTTTCCCAGAGAAGAATGCAGCATGTGTTTATCCAATACCAACTGTACATCCCTGAAAACATACAGACTGAGTAGGTTGTATTTTTATGTTCATGGATACACACAAATATATAACAGCAGTTAAAGAAAAATAAATGTTTCAGTGAAGTCAAGATTTTGGATCACGTGCATAAATATAAACAATAGAATCTAACATTTTCTATTATTGCTATGCACATGATAAACTTAATATCAGAATAGAGAGATGGTTCAAGGGTTACAAGCACCTGTTGTTCTTTTACAAATCCAAACTCCAACTTTAGGATGCACATGATATATAGCCATTCAGGAAACAAACACTCATAAACATAAAATATACAAATCTATCTTTAGAAAACTAAATAGTAAAATAAGAGAGACAGAGAGTACAAAATAAAATTCCCTTGAATGAATTAACCAAAGAGATGAAAGAGCTCTACAATGAAAACTGATTCACTGAAGAAACAGAAGAAAATGATAACTAGAACATGGAAAAATGACTTATACAGATGGAAGAGGACATAATATTATGAAGCTTGCAGTATTTCTGAAAGTGGTTTATATAGTCAGTTCAAACTGCATGATATTTGAACATTCCACAACATACTTCATAGAAATAGTAAAGAGAAACTAGAAATTGTATTGATGCACAAATTCCCTGGGTACAGAGCAGCCCTAGGGAAATGTTACAATGCTGGAACCATCCTGGTGTGATTCCAGATGACACTGCAGGGCCACACAACCAACAGCATCATGGGAGTGGAGAAGACAGACAAACAGCCCAATGTACTACAGCAGCAGATCCAGAACGTGCTCAATAGCAATGACCCTGTGAATGCCATCAAAATACCACAAACACGTGTTGCAGAAGCTATCTATAGTCTCTTCAAACAGTGACATTGGGAAAAGTATCATCTGCATATAAAAACATGAACCTGGATTCAAGCTCTCCTACCATACAATGAATCACAGACTTTCATCTGTGATCTGAAACAGTGAAGCCTGCAGAGGAACACAAAGGGGCAACACTTGTTAGAAAAGCAGGAACTGATAAATAGTACTGTGTAAAGTTAAAAATGTCCAGGGACATGGTAATAATTAAATGTATGAAGAGAGAGCCTACACAGCAGATACATTTATTAGCTACCTATTTATAGTACAATGGATGAAAACCCAGAATCTATTAAAGAAAACTTACAAAGGGAGCAAATAATAATATAATCAATAAATAAGAAAATGTATTGAACAGACTGGGCCAATATGTACATAATAAAAAGCTCTAGCGTGTAGATCATAAGATAATATAAACTTAATGTACAGAGATTCCAACTCTGCCTAATCAGTGTCCACACTCCTGTTCCTAAACAATAACAAATGCATTTCTTTCAGTAATTTCTTGAAATTCAAATTGATAATGTTCCATAAGCAAGAGATGTAAACATACTACAGCACTCAAAAAAAGAGAAAGAAAATGACAGCTGAGATTAAAGCATATATTTTCTACCAAAAATTCATTTCATATCTATAAACACAAGATACTGAGAAAGAAGGAGTGTTTTAAAACAATGCCATGACTATGGACAGCAGTAAAGAAGACTGATGATCATAACTATAATAGTGACAGAAAAATCAAGACAAAAGTATCAAAATACAGGACAAATAATTAGCAAATGTTGAGATGGCCCATTAGATAGAATGTTCTTTTGTCAACAGGAGGTGCATGTCACAAAACCTGGATGTAGACATCCACAGCAGACAGAAAACACGAGACTACAAAAAACATGTGAAAACTGTCACACTGCCTCAAGTTCTCTTCAAACACAAGAAGACAACCTAGAAGGAGGTCTATGGTGATATATTGTGTACCGTAATAAACTTGCCTGGGATTCAGAGGACAGAGCCAGCCACTAGATTAGAAACAGAGCAAGGCAGTGGTGGCACACACCTTTAATCTCAGCACTTGAGATCTCATGTCTTTGTTTGGGAAGCACACATGCCTTTAATTCCAGGAAGTAATAGGGCAGGGCAGAGAAAGGTATAGAAGGTGTGAGGAAACGGGAACTGTCTTAGGCTGAGGAATTCATAGAGGTAACAAGTAGTGGATGGCTGCTCGGATTCTCTGATCTTTCAGCTTTCACCCTGATATCTGGCTATGGGTTTTTTTTCCTTTTTTTTTTTTTTTTTTGAATTAAAACACTGAAAGGCTGCCAGGAGCAGAGCCGCGGGCAGCGCAGGCCGGGCCGCATCTCCGTCCCCGCGCCAGCCGCCCGCGCCCGCCATGCGCGCCCCGCAGCGGCCCGCGCGCCCGGGCCCCGCGTCGTAGCGCGGCGGGCAGAGACCGCAGGCTCCCAGCCCGGGTCCGCCGTGTCCTCGAGCCCGATTGGCGCCGCTGCCCGGCGCCAGCGCCCGGTGCCGCCGCCGGCGAGGGTGGTGCGGGCCGCGACCCGGGCGCCCGGGGCCCTGCGGGATGGAGCAGGCCAAGGGCCGGGGACCCTCCGGGCGGTGCAAACTGGGACCCCGGTACCCCCGGGGTGGCGCAGCTTGGGGACTTGGGGACCCTGTGGGGGTGGCGCGGCCTGAGGACTGGGGAGCCCTGCAGGGAGGTGCAGGCCGGGACCCCGGGACTCTTCTGGGGTGGTGCTGAGGGGCCCCAGCATGCTTGCTTGGCCTGACGCCATTTTGAGCAGGGCCTGAGGAGTACGGGGAGGGTTCAGTTGGAGGACATGGGCGCAGGAACGAGCGGGGTGTCTGCG